GAATTCCAATAGTGAAGGTGGCGAGGCAGTGGCGCAGTTTCTGTGTGGAGTTTGCATTTTCCCCCTGCCTTCACGTGGGTTTCCTCCGGGTGCTCCGGTTTCCCCCACAGTCCAAAGACATGCGGTACAGGTGAATTGGGTGGACTAAATTGTCCGTAGTGTATGAGTGTGTGTGTGTGTGTGTGTGGATGTTTCCCAAAGATGTGTTGCGGCTGGAAGGGCATCCGCTGCGTAAAAACTTGCTGGATAATAGTGAACTATAATGCTATTGTAAGTGAATGATTATTAGCACAGGTTATTAAAGCATTAGTTTACTTCTATAAAAGTGAGTTTTCCTCCACTAGAGGTCGCTGTGATGATCAGATTCTCCACAGCTCTGATTCTCTCAGCTCTCGCCGGGTTCAGTGGCGCGCGCCTGTAATCCAATACTGGGAGGCTGAGGCTGCGGATCGCTTGAGCTCAGGGCTTCTGGACTGCAGTGGACTATGTCGATCGGGTGTCCGCACTAAGTTCGGTATCGATATGGTGCACCTGGGTGAGCTTGGGACTGTCAGGTCGTTTAAGGAGGAGTGAACCGGCCCAGGTCGGAAACGGAGCAGGTCAAAGCTCCCGTGCCGATCAGTAGTGGGATCGTGCCTGTGAATAGACACTTCAGTTCAGCCTGAGCGACACAGAGAGACGCAGACTTTTACATTAATTTTTTTTTTAAACTTTGATTTGTCTTTCTAACTGTAAAACTGAAGAAATAAAGATTTAGAGATGTATGATGACTATGCATTATTAATAGAAAGTAATAATTAAAAGTTTACTAGCAGACTTCAAAAAGTTTATTTGTAAACAAAAATACAAAAATCATCTCAATTTCATGTCTATATTTTAAAAATACGCCTTAGACAGAAATATATTGAATTTAATTGAAAATATATCAAATTAAAATATATATATATATAGAGAATAATTTTACTTTAAACATAAATGGCACATTATAATTTTTGGCCCCATCAGAAACAAAAGTAACACACGGGTAGGTCACAACCAGATTTACTGGCTTCATCATGTTTGTTTTAATTATATCTGACTATGACATTGTTAATTATTTTTTTAATACCACCTGATATTGACGGTTAAAAAGCTTCCAGTACAAAATGGCATTTTTATTGATAAATTAGTTATAGAGTATTATGCCAAATGCAGTTTTAATCTAGAAAGTTTTGTTTAATAAAATAGAGGAGGGGGATATATTTAAGAAATTAATAACACTTAAAAATAGTAAAGCAACAGGGTTAGATAATATTCCAGTGCAGTTCCCTCAAAGACTCCCTAAATGCGTCACTCCGATGGTTACACATATTATCAATTTTTCTATTTGTCAAGGTAAAGTTGAAAAAAGCAAGAGTTATTCCTCTTTTTAAGAAAGGTAGTAGGTTTGAGGTTAATAATTCTAGGCTGGTATCAATTTTGAGTGCTTTGTCAAAAGGGAGGGAAAAAGTTATTTATTAGCACATTGAAAAATATTGTTTAAAATGTGACGTATTGTAGAGTTTCAATCGGGTTTTAGGAAAATCATTCCACTGATTCAACAGTTTCTTTTATTTAACAAATTATATAAAGAGCGATATGGATAAAGGAAGTTAAGTGGGATGGTTTTCTTAGACCTGCAAAAAAGCTTTCAATACAGTCGATCACAGGATATTGATTTTAAAAGTAAAGGCAATGGGTTTTGGTGTTTTGGCCTGTAAATGCATGAAGTCTTACCTTGAAAACAGATGTCAAATAGTAGATTTAAATGGTGTATTTTCAGATTATTTGACTGTTTCTTATGGGGTTTCACAAGGCAGTGTTTTAGGTCCTTTGCTTTTTTAATATACATCAATGATTTGAAAATGGCCTGTTCAAAAAAGCTTTTGTTAAATGCGGATGATGCAGCAATAATTGTGTCTCATGAGAGGAAGGAATTTATTGAAAATGAAAAAAGTAAACAAACTGAGGAAGTCTCTTAATGGTTTAGCCTTAATAAATTGTCCTTACACTTGTGTAAACCAGAATTTATTTTATTTGGTTCAGCTGCGAAACTGAGAAAATGTGTCAGATCAGAGGTAAAAGTAGAGCATCAAATTAATGAACCCAAACATGAAGGGAAATATTTAGGTTGCATTTCAGACAGTAATTTGACAGGTGAGAAGATGGCTGTTATAGTCCATTCAAAAGTTCTAAAATTAAGTTTTTAGCAAGACAGACAGAGCTCTTAGATTTTCAAACTTTACAAATATTGGCTAGTGCATTAGTGCAGTCATACTTTGACTATGCTGCAGTCATTTGGTACAGCAGTAGTTCCACAAAAATGAAAAATAAATTGCAGACGGCCCAAAATAAGTTGCAGAATTGTTATCAAAGTACTTCTACTGACACATTTAAATAATGAATATTATAGTCAAACTAATTTATTGGAAAAAGTTGGAAAAAGGGTCACTTTTCTGAAATTGGTGATGGTGTTTAAGATTTTAAAGAAAATGGTCCCAAAATATTTACTTATCAAGTTTTAGTTAGTGAGGTACACTGTCATTCTACAAGAGCGAGTAGCAGGGGTATTTGTCCTTGTAGAATTAATAGTGAAACAGGTAGAAAGTCTTTTCTGTGTACTGTTGCTTGGAATATACTGCCGAGGAGTTTTAAAGAGATTCAATTTGAGAGTTTTCAGAGAGGAAATTAAAAAATGGCTGTTTTACGGTTGAAGTTGAGGATTTTTGTTGTGCTGAGTTTCTGAGCTGATGATGTTTGCACTTTATGATTTGCTCGTTCATTTTTTAAGAATATCGATGACCACGATGGAAATCAGCCTGTGGCTTTATTGTGTAATTTATCCTCGACAGTTTTTAAGATATGAATGTCAAACTGGACTTGTTTGTATATTTTTGTTAAAATTGTCAAATAAAATCAATCAATCAATTTATTCATTCATTTTCCTTTAGCTTAGTCCCTTTATTAATCTGGGGTCGCCACAGCGGAATGAACTGCCAACTTATCCAGCATATTTTTTACACAGCGGATACCCTTCCAGCTGCAACCCAGTACTGGGAAATATCCATACACCCTCATTCACACACACACACACACACACACACACACACACACACACACACACACACACACACACACACACACACACACACACACACACACACACTATGGCTAATTTAGTTTTTTTCATTCACCTACAGCATAGCACATGGGTTTGGAGCACCCAGAGGAAACCCACATGAACACGGAGAGAACAAACAAACTCCACACAGAAATGCCATCTGACCCAGTCGGGACTCCCACCAGCAGCCTTCCTACAGTGAGGCCATGTGTATATATATATATATAAAGATACATAATTTGTTCCCTTAATAACTACATTTTAAAGAAATCTATTTGCTTAAGTCAGCTGAACAGTAAACAACAACAGCAATAGAAACCACCAAAGGACACCATATGAACACAGCCAAAATGACTTATTAGAGCATGCACATCTTTGTCATTCAAATGGATTTTTAAAAATATGTACATGCCGCCTTTTCTTCCATGTTTCTTGAACTTTTCCCCTTAATGAGGAAAACTATTGAATACTATAAAAGCTGTTCAGCGTTTTATTTTTTTCAGATTAACATTTAATAGACTTTAACTAAAAGTTTTAGATTCTGAGCAGGACAGCACACTGGTTCTCCCGCAGCATGTTTGTTCATCATTTCTATCTTAATGTGTTGATCATTTTCTGTTGTGTTTCTGTATTGTGTGAAGGTCAACCAGTCCACAGTTTATGCTGCTATAATCTTTATTCAGTTTTATTCATAAACTATGTACAATATATACACTGTGCTCACGTCAGCTCCAGGTCTCTTGGGTGAAGGTCTCTCAGTGACGTGGTCTCTTCTGGTCGCCGTGCGTCTCTGGTGGAGATGGGGATCGGGAACGTTTCCCTCTGGCGTCCTGGACTGAAGATGCTGCACCAGCTGAGGAAGAGGAGGACAGCGGCTTGGTCTGGCAGAAGGAAGGCCTCTTTTTCTTCTCAGCAGCATAGGCCTCACTGAACAGATCGAGCGCAAACACACACAAGCAGACATAATGTGAGATTTTCACAAACAATAGAACATGCTGCAATGCCAAGTACAGTTTACTCACGCGTCTATGATGGGAATGACGTATTTGCCGCTGCCGTCCATCATGACTCCCTTTCGGTTTGGGTCGTCCACCTCCAACAGGAAGCTGCGGGGAATCCCTGTGCTCCTCCGGATGCGCTTAAGCGGAGCAGAGCTGCTGCCCTGTGAATTCATGAGTGACAGTCAAACGACAGAGCAAACAATCTGACTGATGGAGACAAGAGCTCAAGTTCACAGCAACCATAAGCTTAGAAAACCCAGTTACCCCTTTAGAGGGGCAGTGCCTAATGTGGTGTCCTGGGATCCCACAGTGAAAGCAGACATAGTTGGGTGGAAGAAGCCCAAGCAGTGTCATGGCCTCACTGATGAACATCAGAACCATGAGAATCAGCTCTAACATTTCTCACAAACCAAACCAGTCAGTGTCTGAACGCTCACCTGCTGGAGTAGTAGCACAGACTGGACTGGTACATCACCGCTTTTAGCTTGTCCTCCTCTGATGCCTTTGCCTCAGCCAGATTCTCAGTCTGTTTCACAGGCATTTGCACATTAGAATTTTATTTCACTGATTTGCTCTAAATAAACACCTGTAACAGCCCGGTTGGAGAAATAAAAGGATTAAACTCATGCACTGATGTTGCACTGTCCTCCTTTGTGCCTTTATTGTTGCATTTGCCGTCCTTAAAGACTGTACAACACCGTAAGAGCTAAGAACAGATGAATAAACACAAATAGAAAAAATGTAATGAATAATAATTCACATAATAAGACAAAACAATAAACTTAGTGACAATGTTATAAAGTATCTGCAAATATATGACTAATTTTACGATAAAATAGCAATTTAAATTATTAGCAAGCCAACAGATGCATCAAATTTTAGCAATATGTATAAAAATGTCCTCATCTACCTTGTTCTCCCTTCCAACCAGGTGTTCAAACAATGAAGATGAACAGAACAAAAAACAAACCCAAATATGCATTAAATCTCTATTAAATCAGTCCTTAAATGTAACATTAGCTCCGTGCATTTCTCTGTGCAAGCGATCGCTCTCTCCCTCGTGCTAGGCGCGCTTCTCCAATCTCCCTGCTTCCGTGATCTGCGCGCGCTCGCGCACCTGACCACTTCCGGCAAGCCGCGCGTCAAAATAAGGGTCTCTATAGGCTAAATAACTTAGTGCAAAGCGGAGTTCAAATAAATAACAAAAACACAACAACTTTTAAAGAAATAGAGAAGTAATTAAAAGCAGCATAAATAATTAACACTGAAACCAAACTTAAATAACTTGGGGTTATTTACACTCCCACCAATCATGAGTGATTATGAATTTTAACCTTTTAATCACGAATGATTTTAAATGAATTATAATTACTACTACTATAACCATTTAAGACTAGATGTAAACAACACTAAAACATATATTACTATGAACTGTTTACTCAAAGGATATGTCAGTATGTTCAGGCTGCCTCCATCAGCAGGACCAACTTCTGTACTGGACGTTCCACCACAGATGGTTTATGTGGACGTTTACCATCCTTCCCCAGATTTCTGTCTCCGAACTGTATTTTCACTCTTCTCACCAATCCGTCCTTGTCAGTGACTGCCTCAATAATCCTTGCCAAGCGCCACTCATTCCTGGGCAGATCCACTGCCTTCTCCAAGACAATATCTCCTACTTGCATGTTCCTTCTTGGTGTATGCCAGCACTGTCTTGTTGTGATGTTAGACACATACTCCTTATGCCAACGTCCCCAGAATTGTTCCGCTAAGTATTGGACATGCCGCCATCTCTTACGGGCATACACATCTTCCCTGACAAATTTGCCAGGAGGTGGTAGGGCTTGAGTAGGTTTTAGAGTGAGGAGGTGATTAGGGGTTAGAGGTTCAGGACTACTTGGGTCAGTTAGACTATCAACCGTGAGCGGACGACTGTTTACAATGGACATGGCCTCGTAAAAGAACGTTCGCAGAGAAGAGTCATCGAGCCTTCCAGATGACTGTGACAGGGTGGAGCGAAGAACACTTCTGACAGTTCTAATCTGTCTTTCCCAAACTCCGCCAGTGTGGCTTGAATGAGGTGCATTAAAAACAAAGTCACACTGTTTTTCCGCTAAGAATGTTACCAGACGGTTGGTGTCAATCTCCCCCATAGCTTTGGTGAGCTCATTCCTGGCTCCAATGAAATTACTGCCTTGATCACACCTTATTTGATGGACTGCTCCTCTGATAGCGATGAAACAACGCAGGCCATTGATAAAGGCATCTGTGGACATGTCATCCAGCATCTCAATATGGATGGCTCTGCAACAGAAACAGGTAAAGAGAAGTCCATACCTCTTGTTTGACTTGCGACCTTTGCTGGTGATGAATGGACCGAAAACATCCATCCCGCTGTATGTGAATGGAGGGGATGGCTCTATGCGCTCTGAGGGTAAGTTAGCCATTTTTTGCTCTTCCGTAGGTCCACGTAACTTGCGACATCTCACACATTGTCGTACAAAGGAAGCTACAGTCCTGTTAACTCCCGTAATCCAGAATCCTCTTGATCTGATTTCATTTATAGTCATTCCCTTTCCTTGATGAGCCATCTTCTCATGACAATCAGCAATCAGGAGTTTTGTAAGTTGGTGCTCCTTCGGAAGTATCACTGGATACTTGACAGCATTAGGGATAGATGCCTCACAAAGTCTCCCTCCCACCTTCAGCAATCCATCTTGGTCGACAAAGGTGTCAAGATTGTATAGTCTGTTGCTGCGAGGTAGTTGTTTGCCCTTACAGAGTAAAGTTATCTCCTCTGCATATGTCTGCTTCTGTAAGTCCTTGATTATGATACATTGTGCATCGTTCCGTTCCGCCAATGTACTGTGATTATGTGACTTGTCGTTCCTGACACGACGTATTAAACGTGCAACAGCTTGGATAGCTTTGGACCATGAGGACAACTTGGTGAGACGGTCTGACAAACATGAATACTGTACATTTTGCGTGTTGAGTGACTGAACCTTCTTGACTTCAGGGTCGCCAATTGGAAGCTGCTTGCTGATTTCCATAGGTGGTGGTATTTGCTTTTCCCATAAAACTTTAGGTCCTCTAAACCAGTTGGAAGTGACAAGATTGTTAACACTTAGACCACGCGATGCGTAATCGGCTGGATTTTCATCTGAGCAAATGTACCGCCACTGTTGAGGAGTTGTGGTGCGGTGAATCCTTTGTACTCTATTTGCCACAAACGTGTGGAAACGGCGGGCTTCATTGTTTATGTAGCCTAACACCACTTGTGAGTCAGTCCAGAAAAACGCTTCTGCATCTGCCAGGTTCATTTCCTCCTTCAACATGTCATTCACTGCAACTGACACCACTGCGGCAGCCAATTCTAGCCGAGGAATTGTTGTGATCTTGAGTGGGGCCACTCTAGATTTTGCCATGAGCAACGAACAACTGATGTCACCTTGCTCGTTCTCGAGTCTGAGATATGAACACTGACCATATCCACTCATGCTGGCGTCTGAGAAGTGGTGAATCTCTCTCCTTATGATTCTCCCAAAGCCAGAAGGCATAATACAACGAGGCACTTCAATCTTTTCTAGGTTAACTAGATCTGCCTTCCAGTGTTCCCATGCTGATTGTAGATCAGCGGGTAAGTTATCATCCCAACCCATACCACTTCGGCACATATCTTGCAGAATGGTCTTTCCTTTGAGTACAAAGGGGGCAAGAAAGCCTAAGGGATCAAACAATGAGGCCACTATAGACAGTATCCCTCTACGGGTTGCTGGTTGGTCCTTAACAGTGATACGGAATTTGAAATTGTCTTGTTCCAGACTCCAGTATATGCCCAAAGCTCTTTCCAAAGGCTGATCAGTGAGAGCAAGATCGACAGCTGTAACATCAACCGCACACTCTGAGGGTGGTATTGTCTTCAAGACTTCCTTGTCATTAGACACAAACTTGTGAAGCCTTAAGCTTCCCAGTGCACAAAGCTGACGAGCTTCTTCAGCCAATTTGATGGCCTTCTCTGTGCTTTCAATGCTGGAAACTCCATCATCCATGTAGAAATCTTGCATAATAAATTGCGAGCCCAGAGGATACAGACGTTCACCTTCTCTTGCAAGATGCTTCAGCCCATAGTTAGCGTATCCAGGGGACGATGAGGCTCCAAACAAATGCACTGTCATGCGGAAGGTTTGAGGCTGTGAATTGAAATCTCCATTTCTCCACCATAGAAATCGTAAATAATCACGATCCGCATGGTCTACATGAAATTGGTGGAACATTTTCTCCACGTCACACATTAGGGCTACAGGGTACTGTCTGAACCTCAAAAGGATGCCAGTTAAGCTGTTCATCAGATCTGGGCCAGTTAGAAGATGGTCGTTCAAGCTAGTTCCCTTGTATCTGGCTGAACAGTCAAAAACTATACGCAATTTCCCTGGCTTTTTCGAGTGGTACACTCCGTGATGTGGTATGTACCATCTTTCTCCTTCTCGTCCTTCCTCAAATACCTGTTCTGCATTACCCTTCTCTATTACTTCCTCCATGAATGTTACATAATGCTCTCTGTACTCCTGATCTCTCATTAATCTCCTCTTCAAATGTTGAAGTCTTATGACAGCTAGAGGTTTGTTATCTGGAAGATATGGTCTTTTCCTGAATGGCAGGGGCATTTCCAGATGACTATCCTTGTTCAATCTGATATTCTCTTCCAACTTTCTCAGAAACATGATGTCCTCCTGAGACGTCACTTTAGTGTGCCCTTCTGTGTCCTTGAAATCAGATTCCAGCACTTTTATCACATCTGTGGGAGTTACTGCAGGTATTTCCTTGATAGACACTCTATGACACATGGCAGCACTGCTTTGGGGCTCAAAATGTGTAAAGGAAGGACCTATAATGCTCCATCCGAGGTCCGTGCGAACAGCATATGGTTCATTCTCCGTTCCAAGAATTACTTCTCGGGGCGCTAGCGCTCTGGAACAATTGTATCCTATCAATAGTCCAACCTCACAATTTTGAAGTGGGGGAATTTTGTCTGCTAGAGTGGCTAGATGTTTCCAATGACTTGCAGTCTCCATTGTAGGGATGTGTGCGTGATCCACAGGAATGCATTCTTTGGTGTATGCAAGGGGTAGATCTATAATCAGTGAGGAATTGAAACCTCTAACTCGAAGACCAGAAATCCTTTCACTTGACATCAAGGAGTCCTTTCCAACCAAAGTAGTGAGTTTAAGCGTCACGGAACAGGAGTCAACTTTAAGACTTTTGCATACTGCACATTCAATAAAGACTGAATCGCTTTGTGTGTCTAACAGAGCATAGACGAGCTTCTCAGAAACTGGGTCTTTATGTGTGGACAACCACACTGGCACAATCATAGAGGTGTTAACAGGCGTGCATCCAGATTCTACACTCAATGACATGGTCGCAACTCCTTCATGGGCATTTTCTGGGCTCTGAGCAGAAGAAGACCTCACCTTTCTATTGAAGCTGTCGTCATGTAGGCAGGTAGGGTGTCTTCCCTTACAGGTGTTGCAGCAATGTCGGGAGCGGCAGTCCTTGGCACTGTGACCCAGCCTCAAACATCCATAGCACAATCTTGTATCCTTTACGAACTGTCTACGTTCTTCAAGAGACCTTGCAGAGAATTTAGAACACTCATGAATTTGATGTTCACCATTTTGACAGAACAGACATGGCTTATTGACCTTTCCAGTGGGCTTTAAATTATCATGCTGTGTGACAGTCTTTGTATGGAAGACATTAGCTTTAGGTTTACTGACCTTGAAATAAATTTTCTCTTTGTTAGGTTCTGAAACATGAAGGGCATGAAAGGATGTGACTGGATTACAGGCAACTTCAGCTTCAACAGACATGAAATGGGCGAATTCTCTAAAAGTTGGAAAATCTTGTGTTTCACTCAGCGTTTGTGTGGTTTGACGATTCCAGCGGGCAGCCGCCCAATCAGGGAGTTTGCTTACAAGCTTCCTATTCTCTTCGCAATCATTCAATATTTCTAGTCCCTTTACATGTGGCATTGCATCCTTACATGAGTTCAAGAAATCAGAGAAATTTCGAAGTCCTACCGAGTCCTTGGATTGAATTTTGGGCCAGCATGCGAGTTTCTCTCTGAATGCTCGTTGTATGATGAATGGCTGTCCGTAGCGATCTAGAAGCCTCTTCCACGCGTCCTTGTAAGCCTCCTCATCATTTCTGTAAAAGATACCATCTAGCACTTTTAGAGCAGGCCCAGTAACGTACTTCTTCAGGTAGTATAACTTGTCTCCTGAAGAGATATGCCTTTTATCAATGAGTGATTGAAATGAAGCCTTCCACTCTATGAAGTGAATGGGGTCACCACTGAAAACTGTGGGCTCTGGCATAGGAAGTCTGTTTAGTGTTATGCTATCTTGGACAGCCTGCGCTAATTGAGACACATCAGCATTGGGACTCTGTGATGAAATGTTAGGCGTTGGATTAACGGAGGATAAGTATACTGGTTTATGCGTGGGAGGGCTTACAGGCTGCTGCAGCCCTTCATCTTGATTAACAGTGTCAACAGTTTCTTCCTTGTCATACACCTCCAGTCTTGCTCTAGCTGCTCTTACCTCCTTCATCGCTTGGAGCCTTTCAAACTCGCCTTTTTGAGCCTCAAGTTCTTTTCTTTGCTTCTCTTCTAGAAGTCGTAATTTTTCTCTTTGCTCCCTTTCTTCTATTACAGTAGCATATTCTGCTTCCTTAGCTGCTAGCTCTGCTGCTGCCTCTATGCGTTTAGCCATTAGTATAGAATTCAGAGAGGGTTGACTTATAGGTGTACTGGATTTGGAGCTGATGCGTGAAACAGTAGAACCATAAAGAGAGCGAGCGTAGTCTCGTTCAAGCAGCTCACGTAAATGCCCCTTTACGGTTTCATTGTCAAAGCCTCCATCTACCCCTGAGATCCTCTCGTATGCAATTTTTACTATATCCTTTGTAACAGCATCACAAGCATCAATTTTCCGTCTCATATCAGTGGGTGGAGTTACATTACTTCTAACCTTTATGTATGCATTCATCACACTGTCCTTTTCCTTTTCCAATGAGTCTATGAGTGATGCTAATTCACTCTCAGAAATGTCTAATTTCAACTGACTTCTTGCTTTCCGAGCCTCAGCCTTCCATTTTTCATATGCATGCATAAGCTTTCTTTCTGCTTTATGAGACTCCTCCCTTTGATATGCAAGCATCCTGTCTGTCTGAGTTCGTTCACGGGTAGAGCGACGTACATTTGTGTCTAATTCTTCAGATTGAGCTTCTACTTCTTCATCAACTTCTTTGTTTTGAACATTATCAATTTGTTCGTTTACTTTTGCAGGAGTGCACAAATTGGAACCGTGATCCGTCATCATTTACATCAGCAAATAATGTCAGTGGGTGCAAGCTCTTACTGTAACAGCCCGGTTGGAGAAATAAAAGGATTAAACTCATGCACTGATGTTGCACTGTCCTCCTTTGTGCCTTTATTGTTGCATTTGCCGTCCTTAAAGACTGTACAACACCGTAAGAGCTAAGAACAGATGAATAAACACAAATAGAAAAAATGTAATGAATAATAATTCACATAATAAGACAAAACAATAAACTTAGTGACAATGTTATAAAGTATCTGCAAATATATGACTAATTTTACGATAAAATAGCAATTTAAATTATTAGCAAGCCAACAGATGCATCAAATTTTAGCAATATGTATAAAAATGTCCTCATCTACCTTGTTCTCCCTTCCAACCAGGTGTTCAAACAATGAAGATGAACAGAACAAAAAACAAACCCAAATATGCATTAAATCTCTATTAAATCAGTCCTTAAATGTAACATTAGCTCCGTGCATTTCTCTGTGCAAGCGATCGCTCTCTCCCTCGTGCTAGGCGCGCTTCTCCAATCTCCCTGCTTCCGTGATCTGCGCGCGCTCGCGCACCTGACCACTTCCGGCAAGCCGCGCGTCAAAATAAGGGTCTCTATAGGCTAAATAACTTAGTGCAAAGCGGAGTTCAAATAAATAACAAAAACACAACAACTTTTAAAGAAATAGAGAAGTAATTAAAAGCAGCATAAATAATTAACACTGAAACCAAACTTAAATAACTTGGGGTTATTTACAACACCCTCAAATCTCCCTAAGAAGCCATGTGTGTGTGTGTGTGTGTGTGTGTGTGTGTTTGTGTGTATTGTTGTTTGCTAAACACTGTGTATTGATATTCTGCACTACATGTCATTATGACGCCTCAAATGCAAACACTGCAGTTCAATACAGAGCAGCACAGTGGGGTGAATTAATCATTTGTTCAATACCTTCAACAGCTGCTCCAGTGAGAGGAGTGAAGAATCACCTGTTTGAGAAGATTTGGCTGATAATCCAGCTTGATGTCTGCAAAACAAAGGAGCTTGTGTGACTAAAACACCACAGACAGACTCAAACTCTTGATATAACATCTATCAGAGGACAATTGCGCTCATTTCACATGACTTACCCAACAAATCTTCTGTTGGAGGACTTCAGTCCAGCCGCAGGGACCCGTCTGATGATGACCAACGTGTTTTTGGGGATGAGAGCATCATCATCTGTGTATTCTGACAGCAAAATAAAGTTTGAATATAGCAATAATCATTTACCATGGTATACTTTGAGCGCCATTAGTATTTTAAAACACTCAGAACATCACTATATGTCACCATCAGAGTCATGATAATAAATCACAGCTTCTACAAGTCTGTCTGATAACACATCTAATGTTAGTGTAGTATAGTTTAAGTGGCTTTTCCTCATCTCACCTTCATCAGTTTGGGCTTTGCTGATCTTCAGCTGGCAGAACTTCAGCCTCTCGCGCCTCATGATCTGCCGCTTCAGCTCTCCCACAGTGATGTTGAGGCCCTCAAACTGGAGCGAGTCGTAGGTGAGTCGACTCTGAAACCTGTAATGAACACAAGACATACTGAACACAAACCACAGTGTGATAACAAGGGTCAAACCTGAATGATGGGAGAAGCAGACGATCAATCGATGTATCCAACAAACAATAATATCAATAATCTGGGAATCAGTTGCCACGAAGGACGCCGAGATCAGATGCCAATGACAGAGCGGAGTTCAAAACAACACAAAAAGAACCGTTGCCATGGATGCTGACGATCACGTGACGACGCGCTGAAAAACTTCCGCGTTATTTTCTCATAAATAATAGTGAAATCATTACTATGTTAATAATAAAATAAACAGCAGAACAGTTGGACATCTCTGAATAAAACACAGCTGCGTTTCCTTACACGAATGATTCTGGCCTTTGTAAAGAGTCGGGCGAGTCAATGAATCAGTGATTCGTGGCTGAATGAATCACTTAAAGCTTCACTCGATTAAAGCGGTCTCTTGCTGCCACCTATTGGCGATTTGTTTTTTCGTGTTTAAAGTAATTTAACACTTTTTTTAAAAGCACCTTCAAATTTATTTTCTACAAAAGTTTATTTCCGTGTGTTAAAAATGATTTAAAACTCTCTAATCTCATCATTTCCTGATGCGTTTATAATGTAAATCCCTTCATGTTTGCCTTTGATCTTCATTACGTGTTAAAATCAATAAAATATTAAAGTTGCCTCATCCAAATCCAAAGTTTAGTTCAAAGCTTTATTATACAGCAATGTGTGTGTGTGTGTGTGTGTGTGTGATTGTGGCAGTGGATTACAGTGAATGTAGAAGTGATCAGAAGTGTGTGATATTTATTGTCTCTGATAATCAAAAGAACATTTTAAGAGTCCAAAAGATTTACTGCCTGATGAAGCCTGTTATAATGCAATTATGATGACCCTATAAATCTAGAATGGTCAGAACAATAAAAAATTAGGGAAAGAGATTACCGTATTTTCCGCACTATAAAGCGCACCGGATTATAAGACGCAGTCTCAAGTACGGGGTCTATTTCTGTACTTGACCCATACATAAGGCGCACCGTATTATAAGGCGCACGCTAAAATACACTGTCTGCAAAAAAGGTAATGGAAGCAAAACAGTTAACATAGTTTAGTTGAACTTTATTGTACTATTTAACAATACACTCACATTATTATTTTTTTCAATCAGTCTTCTCCCAAAAATCCATCAAAGTCCTCATCTTCTGTGTCTGAATTGAACAGCTGGGCAGTTTCGTCATCAAACACGCCGGGTTCTCTCTCATCATTGTCGGAGTCAGTCTCATTGCCGGGTGGCTGTTCCGGCTTTTGCGAAAGCTCGGACAACAGTTAAAGCAGACACCCTAGCCCAGGCATCCACAATCCATTCACTTATGGTGGCGTAACTCGCCCGGCATGCTTACCAGTCTTAGTAAAAGTGTGTTCGCCGTATGTCATCCATTGCTCCCACGCTGCTCGCAACTTCACTTTAAACGCCGTCTACACCAATATCCAGCGGTTGAAGTTCTTTTGTTACTCCTCCCGGAATGACAGCAAGCTCCGAATTCATTCAAGTTGGTCTTCTAACTGTCCAGATTAGACAGATTTTTGAACTCCGTGCACACATAAAGCGCACCGGATTATTAGGCGCATGGCCGTTTTATAACAAAATTTAAGGCTTTTAGGTGCGCCTTATAGTGCGGAAAATACGGTAATTAGTATTTCTCCTCTTTTTTTTGTATGTGTAAGTGCTCCTGGAAGAAAAGTCTGCGTCTCCCTGTGTCGCTCAGGCTGCACTGCAGTGTCTATTCTCAGGTGTGATCCCACTACTGATCAGCACGGGGGATTTGACCTGCTCCGTCGCCGACCTGGGCCGGTTCACCCCTCATTACACGACCTGGTCGTCCCAAGCTCCCCCAGGAGCACCATATCGATACCGCTCTTAGTGTGGACACCCGATCAACATAGTCCACTGTAGCCCAGAATCCATGTTTCTGAATGACTGGTCCTAGAGATGTCGTGTAGATGGAGAAGAGAAGTGGCCCAAGAACAGAGCCTTGAGGTACCCCAGTGTTTAGATGCTGTAGGTTGGACACTTTTCCCCTCCAAGACACCCTGAATGACCTGTCAGAGAGGTAAGATCTGAACCATTGAATAACAGTGCCTGCAACGCCCAGTGACTCATATATATTATATATATAATGATTAATACATATAGAAACAATATTTTCATAACTAAATTATTTTTGATTTGTCATTTAACAGCGAAACATCTCGTCAAATAGGCCACAGTTCATCAGGAAATGAAAAGCTTTTAAATGACAACAGAAAAGCAGTTCAGCGACTAACATTCACTCATTCAGTGAGTATCTCATTTATTCATTCATTCACTAATTGAATCAACACTTTTTCAGTCACTAAATATGGTGTCAGATGCAGATGTGGCCTCTAGTGTAATCCACAGTTCATATATTGCACAATGACGCTAAAGGCCATCATATTATAAAATACTGCAGGTTGTTGGTTGCAGATTAATAATCACAAACATAATTTTTTAATCATAAAACAGCTAAAACATATTTAGTGTCAGAGAGGACAAAGTGGTTTTAGTTTACCTTTTATCTTTAATATTAAACAGCTTTTTAGTCTTTAGACCAGATTAAATAACTTGTGGTACTTGTATAAACAATGTTCAGCTCAGGATCAGTAATTCAGCATGATGTGCTGCTAAAGCTGAAACAGTCTATCAATTTATGCCACAGACTGTGTGAGATTCTGTCGAGTCTTATAGATGTTAAAAACACTGATGGAGGTCAAAACCGCATCTGACACCACAGTTAGTAGATGAGTAAGAGTAAACTGAATAATAAATATGTAACTCAGTTAATGATAGTTATTCACTGCATGAATGAATGTTAGATGAGGAACTGGTATTTAAGTGGAAAATTAAAACATTAAAGCTTTACTTTTTCAGAGGTTCACTGTTTGCACAATCTTAAATGGATAGTTCACCACATAAATATGATTGTGACGATTATGAATTAACATTTTTGGGTCAATTATCCCTTAGCTCACATAAATTATCCCAGAGCATTATTTCAGCATCAATGATCATTCACAATAGTCACATCACAAGAAATACAAGGTTGAGTCTGGATTATAATTTAGCGTTTGCGTGTGTTTCTGAGGCCTGTGACTGTAAAAGCTTTAGGTCTAATAAATTGCATCATTTGTAATTTTAATTGCAAATAATTTTATTTAATTAAAAAAATGAAGACAATAGCAGTATTATTTTACATTTGATTATTACATTACTGTACCTAAATACTGTTAGACTCGTTAAAAAACAACAAAGTTCTGTTCATTTTATTTCAGAAATTTATATTGTATTTTTCTCTGCTCGTAGATTGTTTGTAATGTTTTATGCAGATGCACACCTAATATAAACAAATCACCCATTCTGTAATATGTTTTCTACAGCTATATGTATTATGATACAATAAACCACTTTTACTGTAAAAAAACTAAAGTATACTACAGTATTTATTACATCTTATTAGTTGATACAGAAAACAGAATGTTGTGGCACTCATAAAAAGAGTTGTAAAGGCTAATAAATATGGTATAATAATCTTTAGTTCAAAAACACTATGTTGATACTAATTACTGTAATTTTTTTATTTGTGATCATACTGCTGTTTATTATTATCTAATGTCATAAGGCTATGAAGACAGTTTTTATTCATCATTCAGTTTTCCTCCACTAGAGGTCGCTGTGATGATCAGATTCTCCACAGCTCTGATTCTGTCAGCTCTCGCCGGGTTCAGTGGCGCGCGCCTGTAATCCAAGCTACTGGGAGGCTGAGGCTGCGGATCGCTTGAGCTCAGGGCTTCTGGGCTGCAGTGGACTATGTTGATCGGGTGTCCGCGTTAAGTTCGGTATCGATATGGTTCTCCTGGGGGAGCTCGGGACAACCAGGTCGTTTAAGGAAGGGTGAACCGGCCCAGGTCGGAGACGGAGCAGGTCAAATCCCCCGTGCTGATCAGTAGTGGGATCGCACCCGTGAATAGACACTGCAGTGCAGCCTGAGCGACACAGAGAGACGCAGACTTTTACACTAGTTGTTTTTACTCTGATATATCTTTCTAACAGTAAAAAGAAGTAATAAAGGTTTTGAGATGAATGACATGGCTGTGTGTTAATAATTAGAAATAACTAAAAGTTTAGTTTTTTCGAGTGATGGGTTGCAGCTGGAAGGGCATCTGCTAAAAACGTGCTGGATAAGTTGGGGGTTCATTCCACTGTGGTAAACCAACGGGACTAAGCTGAAAAGAAAATAAATTAATGAATAAAAGTTTATTTGTAGATTAGACATTTTATTTGTAAACAGAAATACAGAAATTATCTCAATTTCATGAGTGTATTTTGAAAAGATGTTTTAGACAGAAATATGTTTTGCTGTGGTTACTAACTCATAAGTGTGGTCTATCAATATCGGGTGGTATTTTAAAAAATTATAGAAGAATTTCACTTTAGTTCTCTCCGTGTTGGTGTGGGTTTTCAGTGGTTGCTCCGGTTTACCCCACAAGTCCAAAGACATGCGGTATAGGTGAATTGGGTAAGCTAAATTGTCTGTAGTGTATGGGTGTTTTCCAGTAATGGGTTGCAACATGGGAGGGCATCCTCTGCGTAAAACTCATGCTGGATAAGTTGGCGGTTCATTCCGCTGTGGTGACACCCGATTAATAAAGGGACTAAGCCGAAATGAAAATGAATGATTGAATGAATTTCACTTTAAACATAATTTACACATTGTTACTTTGAACCCATCATCTGATATTTGGCAGCTCCATCAAGGGTTCTGCATTGTGTTTTCTTTTTATTGTGGGAATAACCAGACAGGTATCAGCAGTTGTGACGGCTCTTTAATCACTCCTGATGTAAACAAAAGCACAGATTTTACAGTGTGTCTTCGCCCTCATCACTTTTACATGCTTCAATCAGACAAATAAAAATCAAAACCTCAATTAAAGTGAAAACACAAAAATAAC